CCATGTATAAATATGGGAGAGGAAGCCACAGGGAGGAGGAGGGAGCAAGCTTGTTTTCTGCTTCCCTGGAGATGAGGACGCAGTGGAACAATGGCTTCAAACTCCAAGAGAGGAGAGTCCATCTGAACATGAGGAAGAACTTCCTGACTGTGAGAGCCGTTCAGCAGTGGAACTCTCTGCCCCGGAGGGAGTGTGGTGGAGGCTCCTTCTTTGGAAGCTTTGAATCAGAGCCTGGATGGCCATTTGTCAGGGGTGCTTTGAATGCAATATTCCTGCTTCTTGGCAGAATGGGGTTGGACTGGAAGGCCCATGAGGTCTCTTCCAACTCTTTGAGTCTATGATTCTATGTATTTATTTAAAATATTTATATTCCGCCCTTCTTCTCACCCCGACTCAGGGGACTCAGGGCAGAGCACAACATATACATGGCAGTCAATGCCGGGACAAGAATTCATATACGCATACCTAAACATTAAAAACATTGATCAAAATATTACAATACACCGTTTAGAACCGTCCTAGTCATCCATGTCAAATCTAATTGGCCTGGTCATCTTTCCTTTTGCTGCTTTATTGCACTGTCCTGGAAACTTGGCCCCACAGCCAAGTTTTGACCATCCTTCTGAAGGACAGGAGGGAGGAGGCTGAGCTGATCTCACCAGGAAGAGAGTTTCATAGCTGGGGGGCCATCCCCGAGAAGGTCCTGTCTCTCGTCCCCACCAATCGTGCCTGTGTCAATGGCGGGACAGAAAGCAGGGCCTCCCTGGAGGATCTTCAATGCTCAAAAACACCATAAAACAGTTAAAAACAATTAAAACAGTATCATAATAAACAGTCAATATGAATCAATAAAACATCTCATTAGCATCTCATAGTTAAAATCAAGATCCAGTCTCATCATCCAATTGTTCCATATTCCTATGTTCATTACACTGCCTATTCAAATGCCTGCTCAAACAACCAGGTCTTCACTTTCCTCTGAAATGTCAACAGGGAGGGGGCCAATCTAATATCTGTAGGAAGGGCATTCCACAGCTGAGGGGCCACCACTGAGAAGGCCCTGTCTCTCATCCCCACCAAACATACTTGTGACACAGGTGGGACCAAGAGCAGGGCCTCCCAAGATGATCTTAACACCCTAGCTCGTTCATAGGGGGAGATGCGTTCGGACAGGTAAGTTGGGCCAAAATCGTTGAGGGCTTTATAGGTTAAAGCCAGCTCTTGGAATTGTGCCCGGTAGCAAACCAGCAGCCAGTGGAGCTGGCACAACAGAGGAAGTCCCCCAACACAATGAGCCAGTGGGATTCCAATGCCAGGCTTGAGACTACCCCTGCTAATTCAGGTAGGGAGACTGTTGTGCAGCGGGGTGGTTGGTACACTAACAGAATCCTAATCTGCCCTGGTCTCCTAACCTCAGGTGGACACATTCAAATAAGGATGACTGCGGGATGGGGCACCTGATCAGGGAAATGGTCTCTTTATAGTCTACTGCAGCTCTGCCTCCCCACCCCCCAGATCTTGACTGATGCTGCAGTGAGTAGCCTGGAGGACAGCTGGGTGAGATTAACCCCTTGAGCTTCATCCAACCAGGTCTCCGTTATCCACGCCAGGTCTGCCTTTTCATCCAGGATTAAATCCTGGATGGTTGTTGTCTTTCCATTGACAGACCTGGCGTTCAGCAGCACCACCCTTAATCTAGAGCAGGGGTCCTCAAACTAAGGCCCAGGGACCGAATGCAGCCCTCCAAGGTCATTTTCCCGGCCCTCGTTCAGGGTCAAACTAAGTCTGAAATGACTTGAAAGCACAATCCTATCTCATCAGCCAAAAGTAGGCCCACACTTCCCATTGAAATACTAATAATTTTATATTTGTTGAAATTGTTCTTCATTTTAATTATTGTATTGTTTTTAAGTGTTTTTGGCACTACAAATATGATATGTACAGTGTGCATTGGAATTCATTCATATATTTTTTTCAAATTATAATCCGGCCCTCCAACAGTTTGAGGGTCTGTGACCTGGCCCTCTGTTTGAAAAGTTTGAGGACCTCTGATCTAGAGGGACTGCCATCCTGAGTACTCAGATTTACCATGTCAGGAGAATGTTTTGGAATTTTTAAAATTTTCTCACGTATTAGCCTAATTGGTTGATTAAATCTCCCTTTCCCATATCTCCCCCTTCCCATCATTACATCAATGGGGACCTCTTAACCAATGGAACTCCTCCCCCCACCCAACAAGTTGAGGGGCCACCACTGAGAAGGCCCTGTCTCTCGTCCCTGCCAATCGCACCTGCGAAGGAGGCGGGACCAAGAGCAGGGCCTCCCCAGATGATCTTAAACTCCAAGGTAGTTCATAGAAGGCAGGCCTCTCCCTCCCTTCCCTGTCCCCGTCCCCAGGAGGAGACCTCTCCCAACAAAAGCCTCCTTTGGAGCCCTTCCCTCTCTCCTCCCAAAGGCCCCCTTCAAAGCCTCCCTCCTTCCTCAGTGGGTTTCTAGATGCAGGAAATGGAGAGGAATGGACACAGCAAGGTCAGGAGGAGGAGGAGGAGGAAGGCCTTCTTCTCCCCACGGATGAGGTTTCCTTCTGGGCCTTTCCCTGGGCCCTTTCACACAGCCATCTAACCCTGAAGATCAAGGCACAAAATCCCACAACTGGGATAGCTGAGTTCACACTGCCAGATATTCCCGTTCAAAGCAGATAATGTTGGATTAATTCAGCTGTGTTTGAACCCCCAAAATGGGATAAAGGCTGATGATATTCAGACCCACCTCTGCTCACCCAGGGCCTTCTTCTGGGCCCCTCTTTCTTTCCCTTTTCATGAGAGATCCAGCACATTCCTGCCATTCCTTAGGCCTTTGGGACCCCCAGGGAGGGAAAGAGGAAGGGGGCTCTGCCCTCCCTCTCTCCCAGGGCCTGAGCTGTTGGGCTTCTCACCCAAAATGGAAGCGTCTTTGACAGACGTCTGCAGTATGGCCCGCTCTTCTCCGCCTCACGTCCAACTGGGAGTCCTCGCTGGATACCAGGTCTCCCCCCCTCCCCAGAGGTCTTTCTAGTCTCACAGAATCCGGGCTTCCTTCCCAAGCAGACCGCCCTCCCTCTGCCCCTTCCTTCCCCCCCTTTCCTTGTGGCTGGATATATTCTCACCAGGCTCTATGTCACGAGCTGCATCACAGTCCAAGGACATTGAGCATGGAAACACACCACAATTTCAGAGAACAACTGATCTCCGTTTCCTCCCTTCGTCCACCTGGAATGCGGAGTTTCCTTCCTCCCAACGGCCAGGACGCCACTCATGAGGCCAGAGTCCCCCCTCGTCCCCTCCGAAGAGAAGGGAGGCCTCATGTGGTCAGGAATGAGTGAATTTAAATCCCACTGTTTCTTGAAAGTGACCATTTTTTTCTCCTAAATCGACAGCATGAGTTCCTTGGTATCTGCTACTTTGCACATCTTCATCAGTCAGTTCGCTTGACTTGGGATATCTTCTTCCTTCTATCTCTGAGGATATAGGATTCGTGCTGCAAATATCATATAGTTTAGCAATCTTTCAAATCTTCTTTCTAGAAAACCATCCAGAATTCTTAAGAAACATATTCCTTCCATGAATGTAGATGGTTTTTCCCCAGTGTGAGTCCTGTAGTGTGAACATAGACTTCCACTTTCAGTGAAGCTTTGTCATCAATCCAAGCATCTATAGGGGTTCTCCCCAGTCTGAGTCCTAGGATGTGAACGTAGGCTTGCACTATAAGTGAAATTATTTCCACGCTCCAGGCATTTGTAGGGTTTTCCCTCAGCGTGAGTCCTTTGATGTGAATGTAGATTTCCCCTCTGAGTGAAACTCTGTCCACACTCCAGCTATTTATAAGCCTTTTCCGCAGTGTGAGTCCTGTGATGTGAACATGGATTTGCACTAGAACTGAAAGTCTTTCTACACTGCAGGGATTTATAAGGTATTTCCCAGTTTGCATCCTTTGATGTATTTTACTACCAGTATGTAGATTGGGTTTCTGAGTGAAGCTCTGTCCACAGTAAAGGCACGAATAGGGTTCTGCTCCAGTGTGAGTTCTTTCATGTGAACATAGGCTTTCACTATGAGCAAAGCTCTGTCCACACTCCTGGCTTTTATAGGGTTTACTCCCCAGTGAGTCCTCTGATGTCTCTTTAAATCCCCACTCCTAGTGAAGGTCTGCCCACACTCCTGGCATTTATAGGGCTTTATCCCCAGTGTGAGTCCTATGATGTCTCTTTAGATCTCTGTTTTCATTGAAGCGGTGTCCGCATTCCTGGCATGTATAGAGTTTCTCCCTAGTGTGAGTCTTCTGATGTGAATGTAGGTTTGCACTAGAACTGTAGTCTTTCTACACTGCAGTCACTTATAAGGTTTCTTCCAGTTTGCATCCTTTGATGTATATGTAGCTTGGGATTCTGAGTGAAGCTCTGTCCACACTAAGGGCATGAATAGGGTTTTGCTCCAGTGTGAGTCCTTTCTTGTTTGCATAGGTGTCTGCTCTGAGTGAAGGTCTGTCCACACTCCAGGTATTTATAAAACTTCTCCCCAGTGCGAGTCCTATGATGTGAACATAGATTTGCACTAGAACTGAAAGTCTTTCTACACTCCGGGCCTTTATAAGGTTTCTCCCAGTATGTAGATTGGGTTTCCGAGTGAAGCTCTGCCCACACTACGGGCATGAATAGGGTTTCTCCCCAGTGTGAATCCTTTGATGTTTATGCAGACTTGAACTATGACTGAAGAACTTTCCACATTCTGGGCATTTATAGGGTTTCTCCCCAGTGTGAGTTCTTTGATGTCTACGTAGATTTCCAGTCCGAGCGAAGGTCTGTCCACACTCCAGGCATTTATAGGGTTTCACCCCAGTGTGAGTCCTTTCATGTGAACGCAGAGCTCCACTCTCAGTGAATCTCTGTCCACATTCTAGGCATTTAAAGGGTTTCTCCCCAGTGTGAGTCCTTTGATGCGAAAGTAGACTTGAACTCTTAGTGAAGCTCTGACCACACTCCAGGCATGTATAGGGTTTCTCCCCAGTGTGAATCTTTTGATGATTATACAGACTTGAACTATGAGTGAAGCTCTTTTCGCACTCTGGGCATTTAAAGGGTTTCTCTTCAATGTGAGTCCTTTGATGTGAACATAGAGTTGCATTTTCAGTGAAGCTCTGTCCACATTCCAGGCATTTATCACGTTTCTCCCCAGCGTGAGTCCGCTGATGTCTTAGTAGATCTCCACTCTCAGTGAAGTTCTCTCCGCATTCCATGCATTTATAGGGTTTCTCCCCAGTGTGAGTTCTTTGATGTGAATGCAGAGTTGAAATCTGAGTGAAGCTTTGTCCACACTCCGGGCATTTATAGGGTTTCTCCCCACTGTGAATTATTTGATGTTTATGCACACTTGAACTATGAGGGAAGCTCTTTTCGCTCTCTGGGCATTTAAAGGGTTTCTCCTCAATGTGTGTCTTTTGATGTGAACATAGAGTTCCACTCTCGGTGAAGCTCTCTCCACATTCCAGGCATTTATAGGGTTTCTCCCCAGTGTGAGTCCTTTGATGTGAATGTAGAGCTCCTTTCTGAATGAAGCTCTCTCCACATTCCAGGCATTTATAGGGTTTCTCCCCAGTGTGAGTCCTTTCATGTGAATGTAGAGTTGAAGTCTGAGCGAAGCTTTGTCCACACTCCAGGCATGTATAGGGTTTCTCCCCACTGTGAATCCTTTGATGTTTATGCAGACTTGAACTATGATTGAAGCACTTTCCACATTCTGGGCATGTATAGGGTTTCTCTCCAGTGTGAGTCCTTTGATGGGAACGTAGATTTCCACTCCTAGTAAAGCACTGACCACATTCTAGGCATTTAAATGGTTTGTCCCCAGTGTGAGTCATTTGATGCGAAAGTAGACTTGTACTCTTAGCGAAACTGTGTCCACACTCCAAGCATGTATAGGGTTTCTCTCCAGTGTGAATCCTTTGATGATTATACAAACCTGAACTATGAGTGAAGCTCTTTCCACACTCTGGGCATTTAAAGGGTTTCTCTCCAGTGTGAATCCTTTTATGATTCTTCAGAATTGAACTATGACTGAAGCACATTCCACACTCTGGGCATTTATAGGGTTTCTCTCCAGTGTGAATCCTTTGATGTTTACGTAGATGTCCACTCTCAGTAAAGCTCTGTCCACATTCCTGGCATTTATAGGGTTTCTCCCCACTGTGAATCCGTTGATGTGAACGTAGACTTCCACCCTGAGTGAAGCTCTTTCCACACTCAAGACATGTATGGGGTTTCTTCTCCATGTTGGCAGTTATGTATACAATTAATTGCAATATGGACACTTCAGTCTTCCCTTTTTCTTTCTGATCAAAAGTGAGTTCCACAAGAGCAGCACCTCGAGAGGGTTTCTTCTTCCGATGGGATGTCTTTCGTTATTGCGTGTTGGTTTCCAAACTCCGAAATATCCACTAGATGCTGATGTTTTCTTCTCATGCCGAAGGTGACTTCATGGGGTCTTCATTTCCCTGTTCAAGAAAGAAGCAGAAAATTAAACAAGAAGCTGCAAACCTCCTTTATTTCCAATACTATCCTCTTTTCCCTTTATGGCTCATGTTGAAAATGAGAATACCAAGAACTGTTGGTATGAAGGGTCTTGCATTCAGACACAGAAACGAGCAAAGGCTAACCTCGAGTTATAAACAATAAGGGATGGATTCAGAAGGAAAGAAGAAAAGATGGGAGGAGGGGATGAAAATAATGAATGATGGATGGAAGTAAAAAGGGACCTTCGTCCAATACTAAAGAGCCACAGTGATTTCATTGGCTTGACCCTAAACATGACCCTAAAGAAACATAAGGCAGAGAGTCAGAACGACCATAGACGGGGTGTCATTCACTCTGATTAATGGGTTTCCATGAATTACCAGCTTATGTCAATATTAAGAGAGACAATGATTCCTTTATTGATTAGTTCATGAACTTCTGGGTCCCCTTTCAGGCCACAAGGGATCTCGGGTCCATTTCCTGTGCATCCAAATTTAGACCCCTGTTGTTTATTTGTTCAGTCACATCCAATTCTTCGTGACCTTATGGACCAGCTCACGCCACAGCTCCCTGTCAGCCGTCACCACCCCCAGCTCCTTCAGAGTCAAGTCAGTCCCTTCAAGGATACTTAACTTAGAAGGCTATAACTTAAGGAAACGTCAATAGACATTTTGAAAAGAGCGTGGACCACCGTGGCCAAGTCAGATTTCCCAAGATACTGGCACAAATGGTGCATAAGTTTTAATTGTGCAAAAGCTCCCCTGGCCACCGCCGAGACCCAGGGTTCCAAGCTGAGCGATGAGTCCATGTCGGAACCTAGACGTCTTAAAGAGCCAGACTCAGGAGTATGTCCAAAAGAATAGTTTATTAATACAAAACAAAACAGACTCAGAGACACTTGCTTCAGTGTCTCTGGCCAAAACTCAAAAGTAGCAGCAATTTTCAGCTCGAAAAGCAAACTAAAGCAATATTCCAAATTATCCAGGAAAAAAATCCGGATTAAACTGGAGCACCTGCTTGTCCTATTTTGATGGATTCATTTCAATTGGTGAAACCCGAGGATGTGGACAAGATACTTGGAGGAATGAGGCCTACCACGTCCATCCTAGACCCCTGCCCATCCTGGCTTCTAAAGGAGGCCAGAGGGGGATTGGCTGAGTGGGTGGAGGTGGTGGTTAACGCCTCCCTTCGGGAAGGCAGAATTCCAGCGAGCTTAAAACAAGCTATAATAAAACCGCTGTTGAAAAAACCATCACTGGACCCCACTAAATTCGACAACTTTCGGCCAGTTTCCAATCTTCCCTTTTTGGGCAAAGTCCTGGAAAGCGTGGTGGCCTCACAACTCCAGGTATTCTTGGGAGACACGGATTTTCTGGATCTGGCACAGTCTGGTTTCAGACCGGGACATGGTACCGAGACAGTCTTGGTCGCCTTAGTGGATGATCTGCGCTGGGAGCTCGACAGGGGGAGTGTGTCCCTGTTGGTGCTGCTGGACCTCTCAGCGGCCTTCGATACCGTCGACCACGGTATCCTTCTGGAATGCCTTGCGGGGATGGGTCTCGGGGGCACTGTTTTATGGTGGCTCCGGTCATTCCTGGAGGGTCGGTCCCAGAAGGTGTTATTGGGGGACACCTGTTCAACCCCACAACCCTTGTTTGTGGGGTTCCACAGGGCTCTATACTGTCCCCCATGCTGTTTAATATCATGAAGCCGCTGGGTGAGATCATCCGGAGTTTCGGGGTGCGGTGTCATCTGTACGCAGACGATGTCCAACTCTGTCACTCCTTTCCACCTGCTACTAAGGAGGCTGTCGAGGTCCTGAACCGGTGCCTGGCCGCTGTAACGGTCTGGATGAGGGCGAACAAATTGAAATTGAATCCAGACAAGACAGAGGTACTCCTGGTCAGTCGCAAGGCCGAACAGGGTATAGGGTTACAGCCTGTGTTGGATGGGGTTCACTCCCCTTGAAGGCGCAGGTTCGCAGCTTGGGTGTGATCCTGGATTCATCGCTGAGCCTGGAGCCCCAGGTCTCGGCGGTGACCAGGGGAGCATTTGCACAGCTCAGGCTCGTGCGCCAGCTGCGCCCGTATCTTGGGAAGTCTGACTTGGCCACGGTAGTCCACGCTCTGGTTACATCCCGTTTAGACTACTGCAACGCTCTCTACGTGGGGTTGCCCTTGAAGACAGCTCGGAAGCTCCAATTGGTCCAACGTGCGGCAGCCATGATACTAACAGGAGCGGGGCACAGGGAGCATACAACCCCCCTGCTGTACCAGCTCCACTGGCTGCCGATCTGCTACCGGGCTCAATTCAAGGTGCTGGCATTGGCCTATAAAGCCCTAAAAGGTTCCGGCCCAAGATACCTAACTGACCGCCTCTCGGCCTATGAGCCCACGAGGACTTTGAGATCTTCCGGGGAGGCCCTGCTCTCGATCCCGCCTGCGTCACAGGCACGGCTGGCGGGGACGAGGGATAGGGCCTTCTCGGTGGTGGCTCCTCGGCTGTGGAACACCCTTCCCGTAGACATCAGGCTAGCCCCCTCCCTGTTGATATTCTGCAGGAAGTTAAAGACCTGGTTGTTTGAGAAGGCATTTGAATAGTAGTGCAATGACGGGTAACTCGACCATAGGAATGGAACAACGGAAATGATATTGGATTGTGAACTTGACGATGAGACGACTCGGAATGGCTTGTAGTTATATTGATGTTTTTGATGAGATGTTTTGATAATGATGTACTGTGTATTATTTTTTGTATGTTGTATTTTTGCACCTGTTTTTCCATGTTGTACACCGCAATGAGTCGCCATTAGGCTGAGAATTGCGGTATATAAGCGAAGTAATAAATAAATAATAAATAAATACTTCCAAAATCCCGCAAAAACACACAGCAAATGAAGGACGATCAAACAAAGAGCCTTGAAGAAATATCCGGAGTCAAATGAAGTCCAGAGTCGAAGAAAGCCAAGTCCAAAGTTGCGAGATTCCAAAGTCCACAAGGCAGCGTCGTCATCAAAAGCAGTCGTCAAAAGTAAGTTAAGGAAGGGGAAATCCACACTCACGAAAATCCAAGCCGAGTTGTAACACAAAGATAAACAGCAACCTGCAGATCCAGGACCCAAGCCCAACACGAAAGCGGCAGCGACAAGACCCAAGGCACGAAACCAACACTTTGCCTACTGCAAAGTTCTTCCATTTCAGTGCCTACTTTTATCTTACAACTCATCATCCAATGATGAGCTGCCCTCCACCCCATCATCATCACTCTCAGCTGGTTTAGCTTCCACACCTGAATGCCGACGCCCATCCCTCTCACTCTTCCACCTCTTGTCAAGACTTAGCTCTCCCCATGATTCCACAGTATCTCCCGATTGCCAATCCCCACCACCAGAAAACTCCGCAAATGTGTCACTAGACGTTGGTTGAGTACACACATCCCGAAGCTCTTGTATCTTGGTCCAATCCAGTGATTCATCCTCATCCCCATCACTCCCAGACCCATTACTCCCAGAGAAACCCATGAAATCCTCCTCTTCTGTGGGAGCAGTAAGTACATCCCGAATCTTCTTCCTCTGTCGCTCTTCATCCGATCCCTGCTCCCGAGTAACCCTCTTAGCTCCCCTATTCACACCCACTGTATCTCCTTCCTCCTCCTCACTCATTTCACTCTCAGAAAACCCTTCGAAGGAATCTTCATCCGTGGGTGACGTAAGTATCTCCCGGATCCTCTTCCTCTGTTATTCCTCATCTAACTCTTGAGCATTCCTTTTCCCTCTTCTGACAGCCTTACTACCAGTTGCAGTGTTGACAACAGACTCTACTACAACAGTCCATGAGGACTCTCAAGCTGCGAACCTGCGCCTTCAAGGGGAGTGTGACCCCATCCAGCACAGGCTGTAACCCTATGCCCTGTTCAGCCTTGTGATTGACCAGGAGGACCTCTGTCTTGTCTGGGTTCAATTTCAATTTGCTCACTCTCATCCAGTCTGTTGCAGCGGCTAGGCACCCGTTCAGAGCCTGAAGCTTCCTTAGTAGCAGGTGGGAAGGAGTGATACAGATGAACATCATCTATATACACAATATAACCCAGACCTCTCGTTTGTGAGCCACAGCATTGTACAGCAATGCACTAAATCAGTGGGACCACCAATACCAAACACACAGCACCGACCTATAGTATGCCAACTATTCCCAACCATAAGGCCTCTGGAAGCTTGATTTAAACGAAGATTCAACTTCAGAAGGGCAGATTGGACTAAATTCTCAGACAGGTCAACTCTGGAACTTGTTGCCTGGAGAAATTAGGAAAGCCCCTTCTTTAGAAGTTTTTAAGAAGAATCTTAAAACCTGGCTCTTCCATTGTGCCTTTGATGAGTAGGTATACAATGTCACATGTCTGTTTAGATGATAATTTTGGCCTTAGAGTAGACGTCCCGTCCCCGCTTTGTGGGAAAGCTTGACTCCACAACCCCTGCCATAATGCGTACTTCTCCGCATATTATCTGCTTCTCTCTTTTATCTTGTCTGAGTTTTTAATTAGTTTTAATCGGTTTGTTTTTAATCATTACATGCAGCCCACCCATTGCCTCTGTGCCTGTGTCTATTGTAATTCTTATATTGTTATGTATTCATATGTTTTATGTAATGTTGTTTATTGTTTGTGTTTTCAGTTGTGTTTTGGTTTTCTTTATAGCAATTGTTGTTCGGGCCTGGCCCCATGTAAGCTGCTCTGAGTCCCCACTGGGGAGATGGTGGTGGGGTACAAAGAAAGTTTATTATTTTATTGTTATTATTGGTGCTGGTGTGAGGACGCCCTGGGTCGCCTTTCGAGGGGGGGGGAGGAGGGGGGGTTGAAATGCATTCATTCAATCATAGAATCCGAGAGTTGGAAAAGACCTCATGGGCCATCCAGTCCAACTCCTGACAGATGGCCACCCAGTCTCTGCTTAAAAGCCTGTTTAGCCTGAAGAAGAGAAGGCTGAGAGGAGATATGATGAAGGCCATGTGTAAATACGTGAGAGGAAGCCACAGGGAGGAGGAGGGAGCAAGCTTCCTTTCTGG